CGCCGGCGCCCTAGTGTAATTCTCCACATTTTGGTTATTTTTGCTCCAAATTTGCACCTTTTTCATCTTTTTGCTCTATTAACCTTAATTCATCATTCCTGCAACAAAACATCAAACATACCTTTCTTTAAAGTGCAATATCATTAAAAACAGTATAAAAAAGGTACGAAAATCTGAACATATTTTACTTTTGTCAATAACCGATCTCCCCTAAACATATTTCTGCTTCCTGATAAGCATATGACAACTTCTAAGAAACTGTTTCTTCACCAAATAGATTTTTAAAGTAGCTTATTGAAAAGACAGCTACTGCCACAAATGCACCTTAAAGTTGAGCAAAGGGCCTTGAATTTTCCAATTTGATAGAAGGGTCATTGCTGGTTTGCTAGTTTAGATTTGCTAGTTTACTTCTGTTAAGATAGTCTAGTCTCAGAAATCTCCAGTTATGCCGCATCGCCTCCTTCCATCCATCCATCCCAGGCGATAGTTTTTCCATCCATCCCATGGCAATAGTTTTCCTGGCATGCTCTCCCCTAACCCCATTTTCACTAAAACCCTTAACCCAACTTTTCCCCCTCCGCTTCCCATCGGAGAAGATTTCTCGGTCTTCTCTTTCTCCTTTCACCCCACCACTTACAAGGGCTTCTTGTTACACTGACGCCGTGAAGCCGGTGGTTGCAGCGCCCCTTGTGAAATTAGATTCTGAGAAGTACGGAAAGAAGCAGGTCATCAGCCTCTCCCCACAGCTATACGAGTATGTCCTCGCCAATGTCCGTGAGCCGCAGGTAATCTTTTTCCCCTTTCACGTATACTAATTCTCTCGGATTCCATAGTCGATATATTTGCTTTGGAACTTTAGGTTCTTCGGGAGCTCCGTCAGGAAACGGCGGGCATGCGTGGAAGTCAGATGCAGGTATTGCTTCATTCTTCTGTTCATCTCTAAAACGCTCCATGTAGTTTCTTCTCTTTTGACTGTTTTTGATAAACATATTGATTTTTTTCTTCTCACTTCATTTGATGAAAAATCATCATAATTACTTGTTTTGTGGATTGAAAGGTAAGCAATGGTTGACAGTGCTTTTCTATCAGCGGGATGCAATGTTCTGGGATATATTGAGAGAATGTGATATTCGTACTGAAAGATGAAGTTTTCAAGAATTTATAGTGTTGTATAAGCCAATAACCCTAAAGTTAAATTTCTGTTGGGATTGCAAATGATATAGTTCCAATTAGCGGGACATTTGTTTTAAATGGAGAAAAGTAAGAGTATTGGAGAGCATGTAAAAGATATAGGCCCTAAACTTTGTTGAAAAATAATTGAGTATATGATATGTGATTTTAGTGAGGATATATCAAGGCTTAGGGTTATATGATAC